GGCTTGGTGCGGCCTTTTGTGGTGCTCAGCGCGCTGCGTGATGCCTGTGTGTTACATGCAATATGATAAGCCCTGGTGCTGGGACGGGGCAGGATCCAGGCACGGTTTGCATTTTAACCCTTACTGTGCTGGATACAGCTGGTTTCCTCCGGAGCCTGGGAAGGGGGATGGGGGCAGGGGGGTTTTACCTATCCCAAAATACGTGTTGCCATCTGTTCAATGCAAACTCACTCGTTTGCAGCTCCACAGACCCCCCCGGTCATGCCCTCCCCGCGCACATGTCCTGGCCGGAGGTGCCCCCCTCTGCCCCTGATTGCTTGAGCTCCTGCTGTGCTGAGATGAGCGTCTGTCCCCTGGGTTTTTTCTTGTTGCGTGCGTCGAAGCAGAGGCTCTCTGCACCAGGTTGTACCTCCAGACAGCGGCTTGAAGGTGACGTGTGGCAGCAGCTTGGCAGAAGGCTGGGATTGGGGCTAGGCTGGGGTGCAGTCGGTCTCTTTCTTGGCAGGCTGCTGCAGCATGAGGGGTCCCTGGGCGCGCCTTGCCAGAGCCCCTAGCTCCACAGGGTCGGGTCTGCACAGCTCTGGGACGGGGGCCGCCAGGAAGGGTTTTGGGATGGAGGAAGGAGACATCTGGGCACTCCCTGGTCTTGGTTTCCCCGGGTGATGCTTGCGGACAGAAAAACCCCTAACAAAAGAGGAAGATGCTCCGAGCAGGTTCATTCCTTGCTGGCTCTTGGAGAGCCACCTTTTGCAGCGAGGGCTGCCTGGAGCTGGCCAGACAGCGCAACCCAGCTCAGCTGTGCAGCTCCCACAACCTGGTGGGTGCTCCAGCCCCAGAGGAAGGACCAGCACTGCGGGAAGGACCAGCCCCATGCTACCCTGCCGCATCCGAAGGAGGCTGCAGGGTCAGGGAAACCCCCGGAGAGGCTGTGCTGCTCTCCAGCACGCTACCTTCTGCAAGGGCTCACAAGCCACGGGGCCAAGGATGGCCCCAGGCAGGGCAATCCAGGTCGTGGGAAGGACTGCAGGCTGCCAGGTGTTATCATCCAGAAAGCCTGGACAATCCTAGCCCCAGTCACCTCCAGGACTCTGGAACAGACGGACCAGGGTGCCGGTGCACGTGTGCCCGGGCTGGTGCGTATGCGGTTGTGCCTCCCACCTTCAGCGCAGCCATCTGCCTCCCGTCTCCGGCAAATACCCTGCTCAGGCTGGCGATGGTTTGTGCTGTTCTCCAGTCTCCTGGAGTGCAGAGTTCCTCCCACCCTGGTGTCTAATACCATCAGCCCGAACGCCGGCTGCCTGTGGCACCCGGGAGAGGCACGTGTCTAATCCCCGACACCTCGCTGTGTCAGACGGGTACGGGGGCTGCATGCAGCACCATGCCGAGACACGACGGCCTAGCGATGAGATTAGGGTATTAACCTGTGGACCTGAGACCCGGATCGAGCTCCCTGCTGTGACACGTGTTGCCCGTGTGACTCTGGCAAGTCGCGTCACGTCCCTGGGCCCGGGTCCCCCTGCCGTGCAAAGGGGCACGGCAGCTGGAGGGCTGGGGGTGCCCAGACACCACTGGGGAGGCCCCTGAGGCCACAAGGTGATGGTTTGCTCCATCTTCCTCCTCAGTCCCGCTGGGTTGCCCCAGCCCTGGCAGGAGCCCTGTGCTGGGGTGGCTCTGCCTGCCTGGGATTACCAGCCCTTGGCATGATGCCTGACCTGCAAAACTGCTTTTGCTCATGAGCCTGCGATTAGCGCTAATCCCCCGGCACGCCTCTTCCCAGCAGGGGAAGTTACCTGGGCTTAGCCGACTCTGTGCTGCCGTGACAGCTCAGCTCCCTTGCCCGGGCTCTTCCTTCCCATCTGCCTGGCTCCTGCCTCTCTATCCGTAACAGGAATCTGTGCTCCGATCCTCTCAACTCCCGTGTCACCCCAATTTGACCCATTACCAGGGTTCAGGAGGGTGCAAGGAGCCTTTGCTCCTTGGTAGGGATGGAGACCAGCTGCCCCAAGTTCTCGTGGGCACGGCAATGGCTCCCAGTCCCATCACAACAGGGAGGGAAGGGAGCCCCCACGTACCCCCTGCCCACCCGGAAGGGCAGGGCTGTCGGCGGCTTGTTGAGCGCTGTGGCGGCTGGATGTGTTTTGTTCCTTAGGTAGTGAGCCGAGTGCCTTTTCCCCTTGGAAAGAAAAACAGGCTGCTGTAAGTCATCCCCTGGCCTAGGAAGGCTTGCGGACGGGTGCTGGTGACCATATTGTTCCTGTGGAGTTTGGCTTGCACAAAGGGTGTTTCCCATCCTGTGCGAATAATGCTGCCCTTGTGTGAGTTTATCTGGTTTTAAAGCCTTCTCCTTTTCTCCCTCCCATGACCGCAGGTCTCCTTGAGCATGGGCGGAACTGGTCAGCCATTGCCAGGATGGTGGGCTCCAAGACCGTGTCGCAGTGCAAAAACTTCTACTTCAACTACAAGAAGAGACAGAACCTGGACGAGATCCTACAGCAGCACAAACTAAAAATGGTAAGAATCCTATCTCAGCCCACACCGGGCACCACGCTTGCGTTGTTCCCATAGCCGAGGAGGAAATCTTTCATCCTGGAGAACATACTGGTCTGAAAACACCAGGCACGGGCAGCTTGAGTGATGCAGGAAGGGGCCGTTTGTCTGTTTGGTCCCAAGAGATCTGTAGTGGGGGGCGGGGGGGGTTGCTGTGTGAGAGCATACCCCGTCCTCTGGAGCACAGCTGATACTCGGGGAGATAAAAAGGAGCAGAAAGAAGAGTGGGGTGGTTGCGTGTTAGCCAGAACGCGAGCTCAGTCCTAGCTGCGTAAATCCCTTGAAGCCAGTGAGGTTGTGCCATTTCACCGCACGGAGGGGTGAGCAGAATTGGGCCCAGCTATTCACCACGTTTCTATTGAAATCTTCGGGTGCCGTAGACCCCGCAGCAGTGCTGACACCCGAACTAAAGGCGAGGACAGCCAATTTACCCCCTCAAAAGGCAGGGTTTCCTTGCAGGGTTTTAGGACAGTGAAAGGAAAGGAGGGCTTAGCCCGAAATCATAATGCTTAAGAAGATTTGAAGGCTAATCCCAACATGGATGTCGGTTCTCTTCATGATCGCAAGCAAATGCGCTCATCTCTCTGTGCCTCAGTTTCCCTATCACAAAGGGCCGATACTGCTTCCTTTCTGGCATGAAGTGCAGGGTGTGGATAATGTGGGGCTTGTTCAGCCTTCTGGAGATAAGGCAGACTGCTACAGAGCAACTAAGGATCATAATTATTTCATTTGTAGAGTATCCTGGGGTTCCCAGTTTCTGGCTAATAGAATTCACATGGCTAAACCCCCAAGGGGTGCTTTGAAAATGCAAAGGACAATGTTCAATGCAGGAATCTCTCCAAGCAAGCTATTACAGCAAGAGTAAAAAGAAAGACAGGAAAACATTCAATGACTCACCCAGGAATTTAATATCCTAGTCAGTCTATAGGAATGAGAAAGAGAGAAGACATTGGCGATTCTTTTTTTTATTAATTCTCTATGCACAGAGACACTCCTGTGTTCCTATGTTTCACTGAATTGTTTTTAGAAACAAAGCAAACAAACTATACAAAAGAGCAAAAAAAAGTATATAAAGACTGGAATGAAACGTGCATAGAGTCCTCTGAATATAAAATGTTATAAAGATATCATTGTTCATTACTGGGGAGAATCTGAAATAAGATCATACAGCTTAGCTGGCGATGGAATCAGTGTGTATTAATTTACTCTGCTTCCTAATGTTTCAGAAATTATATCACAGAAGTGTTTTTCTGCAGAACCACATTTTTCCCTGTATCCGTCCCTCCAAGGCAGCCACTAGACTTCTCCAGTCTAATTGCTCACTCTCACTTGCAGTTTATGTCGGCATCATCATTTTATTTTTTCAGCATTTGAGGCTATGGGATTTGGTTTTGTAGAAGAACAATGAATGTTCAGCTGTTATTTATTGTGCTCTATTGTTTTGTGGCAACAGCAGATGCCAGAAAGCTGAATAAAATAGAAGAACAACTGAGATTAAATTGCCATAGACCTTCCTTCCTGACTCCTAAATATATTCACAAGTGAACCAGGCCTCCTAATCTCTTCCTATACCCAGTAGTCAGCCTTGACCTCTGCAGAGTCAGCATGTGGCAAGCCAGTGTGTCATCAGGTAGTTTTGCCATGAAGTCCCCAATATATTCCCTGACCTCACCACCAGCAGCTATTGCTGATAATGTTCAAGGAAACAAATTGGCTCTGCTTTTCCTCCTCTTGCCTAATGAGAGTAAATTTAATTAGCAGATCTCATTAGTTTCCCAAATGTAGCTCCTTAATATTTTGTAGCCTCCTCTTCCTGATACATTGTGGCACAGGTTTGCAGGGTTCCCCACCTAAGCCAGGTTTCTCTCTGCCCGGGCTGGGTTTTAGCAGCATGTGGGTGATGTGGAGGAGCCGCAGGGATCGAACCCATGTCGATAACCGGTTTAGGAAGGGAAGCAGAGCCTGGTGAGGTCCGTTGTGCCCCGAAACGCGGCAGAGTAGGGTGTGGAGCGGGATGTCCCCTTCCTTGCAGCTGGCCAGTGGGATGGCACTGGGCATTTCTGTAAGCCCTTGATGCCAAGGGACAGGCGAGGCTGTGGGCTGAGTCCTGGCCTGGCTAGAGCCTGAGGAGCTCTGAGGACAGGGGAACGGGCAAAGCAGGACTGTGCTGTCCCCAAGCATCTAGTACATTAGAAAGGAAAAGGGGTTGGTTTGCAAAGGTGTCTGGTGCTGGTCTGTGTCAGCACGCAGAGCCACGTTTCCCGTTCTCTTGAGCTGCGCAGCACTTGCAAGATACCCAGATTTTTCCCTTTCTCCAAAGGAGAGGAATCCCACTGCAGCTACAGCAGGGCCAGGTCCGCACGAACCATGGGTTCCTCGCCCTGTCCCTCTGCAAGCATGCCGCGGGATCGAGGTGTCTGCACAGCGAGCTGCACCTTGGAGAGAGCAGCCTGCTACTCCCGTGGTGGAGTCTGGCCACCCTGAGGCTTCGTTTTATCTACACTGCTGTGTGTTTTGGCTTGGATTTGCTGTTGAGCAGCTCAGATGTGTCCCAGGCATCAGCGTCACATAGCCTTGACCTTCTGCATGCTGCGCTCTGTAATCTCGGCATTTAAGGAAAGCGGGCATTTTGATACACGATGTCCTCTCAGAGCTGCTCTTTTTGTTAGCGGCTGGAGATTAGATGCTGTCTTCACCGCAGACCTCTTTGCTGGGCGATAGTCACTTTGGTCTAGTGAACGCTTGGGCTTTTTTAACTTGTGAAACTAAGATGGTTCAGTCGGATATACCTGGTCTAGCGCTGGTGGTGGCACTGCTTTGAGCAGGAGGCCTCGCGAAGCCCCTTCCAAGCAGCATTTCTGCGATTTTTTGGGTGATGCTGGATTCAGGATTCAGGTTGCAGAGCTGATGTGGGAGGAAAGCCTGGTGGTCTCCTCTTCTGGAGGATGAGCGAGTCTTCCTTGCATTTGTGCAGCACGCTTGGTCTTGGGCTGGAGGCCAAGGCCCTGCTCGCCCTGCTGGGCAGAGAGGTCCTGTCTGCGGGAGCACGGCTATCCCCTTCCTGTGGTCCCAGGGCTGCGTCTCTTCTGGCTCTAACCATGGCTTTTTAGAAATGAGGCAGTGGGGAGATCTCCCGTTTTGCTGCTGCAAGGTCCAAGGCAGAGCCTGTGAAACTCTAGCAAGGTTTGAAGGGCTAGGGACAGGCTGGCTATTTCCAGTGCCAGGCCTGGGACAGAACACAGGCATTACTTTGTTGTCCTGTGGTTAGATCCAACTCTAATATAGTCTCGAATACACATCATTATGTCATACCGCTCTGGGAGTGCCTGATCATGCTGTTAGGAAAGGCTGAGACGGATGCTGATGGGAGGTAAATATAATGACGGCTCTGTATCAGAGGCAGGGGTTGAAAGCTGTTTTGGCTCTTCCTGCTGTGTCAGGTGGTGATGGCGAGGCAAGGCCAAATTTGTCTGGACTGACGCTTCCCCTGTGGGGCAGATGGCCAGGAAGATGTCACGTACATGGGCTGTTGGCATGGCCTCCTCCCCACCTCCTCCTCCAGGAGAGACGGCACAGGCGAGCTGTGCAGGGAGGAGGCAGGATCCAGCGCCGGGAGTGGAAGGTAAGAGCTGCTGATCCTTGCCAGGCTTGGAGTCAGCATAACGGAGCTGGCTAAAAACCAGCTGCCGCAGTAACCCAGGCGCTTGGGATGGCCGCGCGGAGGAGCGGACGTGGAGTGACACATCAAGGCTTACAGAGCAAAAGGGGCTGAGGCTTGGGTGCTTCTCCACCCGTGTGCCCTGGTGTGGTGTTTGGTGCCCTCACTGTGCACAGCATGACTCCTCGGTGGGTCTCCGTGAGACAGACTGGCACCAAATCCTGAAGTGTGGGAAGATCTTGCAAAAATACGTGATAGTAGGTAGAGAGCATAGCGTGAGGGATGAGTCCCCATGGGCTGGAATAACACAAATCGGCAATGAAGTGCCAGTTGCTAATGGTCCTGAAACCTTCCTGTGGCCTCCCTGGACACTGCTTGGGTTATAAAGAGCACATCCGTGTGATTGGAGACGCCTTGTTCCAGCCACAGCCCAAAGTGCCTCTTCCATGTCTTCCCCACGGAGCTTGAGCAGAGCCTCCCTTCTGGCTGCTTCACTTTGCCCCACATGCTGGAGAGAGGTCCTGCTTGACTGGACGCGTTTGTCCTGAAGTTGTGGTTAGGAGCCTGTCTCAGAGGTGGGCCCTCGTGTGCCGGCTGCTGTACGAAGGCAGAGCAGGAAAGGTCCCCTTTCCTTGAAAAGCTGCCAAGAACAAGAGTCTGCCGGGGGGCCAGAGCTGCAGGAACTGCATGCGGGTGAGGCTGGGGCCTGAATGTATCTCTATCTGTAGCCTAGCCCTGCTCCCTGGATTTCACCTCGTCTTGCTCAGCCGTCTCCCTTGCGTTAGGCAGTGGCACTCTGCGAGATAAAAGGGACTTGCACGGCCCCAAAGACAGCTCGGTGCTCCGCTCCGCCAGCAGCCTCCATCCCTGAGCGTGCCGAGCGCTGCTGCTTTGCTCTTCAGCAACTGCGCTAAAAGCCAAGTATGGTGTTGAGGCAGAGGCTGGTTCCCGGATAATTCCCTAGCGGAGAGCCTGCTCCTTGGTTCGACTGAGTCACAGATACGTGAGCGAGAGGCAGAGAAGTCTTTGCCATAGTAACGTAGGAGCTTTGTCATTGCATTAGCATGATGTGGAATTGCTGCTTCAGACAAAAACACGCGGTTGTTGAATCGTTGCCTTGACAAAGGTGTGAACGCTGGCAGTGCTCCGGCCGCCGCCGCGACGGCCGCCGAGGACTGGGAGAGGGGCGCGGAGGAGCCCTTCGCTCCTTGCGCTGGGTCTCCACGCATTCAAACAGCGATTTCTCAAGTGCACTTTTTCTTTTCTCCTGCCCAGTCTGATAAAAATAGATTTTGAGCAAGCAGCGTTTCCAAGCAAAAAGCAGTTGTATTTGTTTGTTTTATCTGGAAGTTTTTTAAAGGATTGAAAAGTTGGAGGGGGAGGGAAAGAATCAGCTCTTCCCAACAGCGAGATCCAAAAGCAAAGTTAACGTTTCCGCCACGGCTTTATCTTTTCATCCATGTAAATAAACGTCCTACACACGTCATTCATGTGGGGTTTGCAGAGAGAGCCGGAGATGATGGGCCTGTTCCTACTGGTAATATTTACTTAAGCAACAAGAGCAGGAAACAATAGCACAACTGAGACTTTTACTTTAGGCCAGGGGGTTCTGGGAGGGAGCAGTTTGTGTGCGCCCACGTCCACGTGGCACGTGCCCTGGAGAGACGGGACAGTGCTGCCTGGGGGCTGTAGGCAGGATGGGGCCGGAGGGTGCTCAGCACTGCTCTGTTGGCTGCTCCACTTGCTGGGCAGCCCCGTATCTCCCAGGGGTCAGCGCTTACAAACAGGCAGCGCCTGCGGGATGCTGTCACATGCTGAGCATCCCACCGGCGGCAGCCTCCCCTGCGCGGAGGGAGTAAAGTCCTTTGGCAGCACCTGCTCTGGGATGTGGGAGAACTGATGCACTAAAGCGTTGGCTGCGATGCGCCTGGGTCATCGCCTCTGCTATCTCTGGATGAGCGTCAGGACGGGGCCACGCACGTTCGAGGAGCTGGGAGGTAGTCCCGGTAAACACGTAATGCAAACATGTAACACAGACATAAGGATCAGACGGTTGAACTGCCTGGCTGTTTCCAGCCCTGGACGTCGCTTGTCTGCGCGTCAGTGACGTCCCTCCCGCAGAGGCTTACCACAGCTTGGGGTCCCAGCTCTGCCAGGGACACCAGGTGGCCTTCGTGTCACCGTCACCGCTGAGGTCTGGGGGAGGGAGATACTGCACCCTGACTGCAGCTTGGCAGCAGTGTCCGATGGATCACGCTCCAGCCATGCCATGGAGGAGCACCACCTCTGTGGGTCTGAGCCCGTGCGCTCCGTGTGTGGGACTAGGAATGCCCAGGGCTTCCCTTGAGTCTTGTTCCTGCCCAGAAGGGCAGTCAGCAGCACAGCCGGATGCCCAGTGTGCTCCACGTCCCGCTCTGCCTCAATATTTTTGGCCTGGCGAGACTGTGCTGCAGGCTTGTTGGTCTTTTGGCAGGCGAGCCTGGTCCTGGAGACCGCTTTTAGGAGAGCTCACCTGGGGAGCTTTAGGATTCAGGAGCTGGGGGCCGTAGCAGTGTTAGCATCCCTTCTACCAGCAGCGTGTGGTGTGTTCCCCAGCAGCGCTGGTGTGAAGGCACGTGCCATGCCCTGGCACGGGGGCAAGCCTACGTGATGTTCCTTCTGACCCTTTTCTGCCTCTTCCCTAGGAGAAAGAAAGGAATGCAAAGCGGAAGAAGAAAAAGGGCACTGCCGTGCAAAATGAAGAAGCTGCCTTCCCTCCCGCAGCTGAGGATGAGGAAATGGAGGTGTCGGGGACGAGCGGCAACGAAGAGGAGATGGCTGAGGAGGCCGAAGGTGAGGGGGGCTGGGGCAGTGCTGGGGGGAACGTGCTCAGCTGTCCTGACTTTGCCCACCAGCTGTGGCTGGGTGCTCCAGGCTCTGCTCGGTGCCCTGCGGCACTGGCTCCCTTGGCCTGCGCATGTCCGTGCTCCCGAGGGGCAGCATCTGCCAAGGGTGTCTGTCACCCCAAAGAGGCACCGAGGCGATGCTGTCCTGCAGCACGAGGCGCTCATGACCTTTCAAGCGCCTCTGGATTTCACGCTCGCGAGGGCTGCCCTGGATCACTGCCCTCCTCCGGTGTCTGTCTGGAGGGATGTTTATTTTGGGAAGGTCGTGCAATGGCAGGAGCTCAGTTACCAGCTGGCCTCCACCACGGCTGCTGGATATCCGGGGGCCTCCTCAGGGTCCAGGTGGGGAGGCTGTCAGCAGCTCTCGAAGCCATGTCAGGCTCTCAAGGAACGGGGCGACCAGGATAGCACTGCCCTCCAGTGCCTTCTCCAAGGTCCATGGGCTCCTCGGCCCCTGCTTTGAGGCTGCACATAAAGGGCTCCCCTAGGTAGCGGAGGGGATGGACTTTTGTCACCTTCGTTCACTGCCGGTCCCAGGTCTCACCAGTGCAGCCACCGCGGGAAAACGGCTCTCCCGTGCGCATTGCTCCCCTCCAGCCCTTGCCCACCCAGCTGTCTCGCTTTGTCCCAGCAAAGGTGGCGCTTTGTGTGTTCCCCAGGGACTTCTTTTTCCTCACCTTGAAGAAGAGACAGCCCTTTTATTTGCGATTTCCATCAGCCCACAGTCCCCAAAGCGCTCGGCTTATCGCAGAGCCTGGCACACTTTCACACTCTTGCAAATCTCATTTTCATGCTGTTTTCCTCTAAAGGCCTGTCCCTGCGCAGCTTGGCGGAGCCCAGGGACGCGTCGGGGTTAGATAGCAGGCGCCGTGTGGTCTAGAGGAGAGGCTATGGGGGAAGCTACTGGAGGAGAGCAAGCAGAGAGCCACCGGCCTGCCCGCGGTGCCGGCAGGGAGCGCAGCGGCACCAGCTGCCCCGGGGCTGGCGTTGGCACAGGCCTGCAGTGATGCCCCTGGGACGCAGGAGCATGCTCCTCAAGGAGGAGTAACCCATTGGGTTTGCGGAGCCCCATCCCCATCCCGTCAGGGCATTGCTGACCCTCCTGCCCGAGGCAGCTGAGCTCGAGGAGGTTCTTGCTCCTCTGGGAAGCCGAAGGAGCTGCAGCCTCTAAAGTGTGAAGCTGATGCACCTTGGCAGGTTTTTTCCTCCTCATTTTCCTCTTAAGGGAGTGTTTTCCTCTCTCCCAGCCATGCCAAAGAAAGGAAACAACTTGAAAGTGACAATTTTGGCTATTTATCGCTTAGAAAGCGCGGCAGTGAGTTTGGAGAAAATGTGCATAATTTTCCAACAATAGCCCCATTTGACTTCTGTCAAAGTAATTTAATAACTTAACCAGCACTGCTAGCACCATGCTGATTCCTGGCCTTAGCACCCAGGCTAATGGGACTCGAAACTGAAAATCTTTTCAAGTCGTTGTTGAAAGTGACTCATTACAAGGCAGATTCCAGGTAAATCTTTGTGCGAGGTGATATGTGACTCAGAGACACAATGTAGAAGGTAGTTATTTTGCTTTTTGTGAGAGTGGTTGAGAGGAAACAATGTATTTTTAAGATTAAAGACAGATCGCTTGACACACTTTGAAGCTTTACGTTCCTAGAGCTCCTGTTTTCTCATTTCGTATTCATCCCGTTGGGCGGAGGGGGACTATTTCTGAAGTGGGCTATTGAGCTGAATAAACGTGTAAGCACAGGTGGAGGAAATGTCATGGGCACAGAAATGTCAGAGCAGCGTTATGCCTGAGAAGGCTGCTTGGCTCCTGGGTGACATTTGGAGATGCGTAGCGAATACCGTAGGATCAGGGGGCCGGGGGGCAGGCAGCGGGCCGGAGGGAAGGTCTTGGCATGGTTTTGGTTCTGTGATTATTTCTCTGCGTCCGGTTCTCGTGCTTGCGAACACCAGGCATGTGTGCCGCTTGCCTAGCACCCTGGTGGACGGGGCGCCTCTAGACAGCCAGACTGCCTGGCTGGTGCTGTTCACCTCTCCATCCAGGGCACACAGATCACGCTCTGCCATCCTGGGTTCAGTGTCTGCAGTGGAGCCTAAGGCTTGGTGGAACCAGGGACGAGCTGCCTTTGGAGGGTTCTCACATTAGGAGTAGCATCAGGTGTGTTGTTAAGTAAGATTTTGGCCAAACCTACTGTAAATCTGTGTCCTGTCAGTCCTGTGCCCATCCTCCTTGGGTGACTGCATCTCAGTGATTGACTGCAGGTAAATAAATGTTGGGGGAGGCTGAGATACCTCACGAGTTTGGCGCATTTTCTGGCCAAGCAAGTGGAAGGCTTTGGATGTGCTCAGCCACACAGCTCTTGGGATGCAGTACCTCTCAGTGTCACTCATTTGTGTAGCATTTGAAAGCTGTCTACGCTGCTAGGGAGAGAGAGGAAAACAGATGCATGTGAGGAAACCACTCTCTCCCTTCTTACACGAGCGTGAGAGACCTTTGCCCCGAGAGGGACCTGTTAAGATCCGACCGTGGCAGCCGAGTGATCCCCCTGGCCCATTGGTGTGTTTGCACGGGGAAGTTCTGGAGGAAAGGATCCTTTCTCCAGCCGTAGAAACAAACTCTCAGCAGCACCTTCATCTGTAACGATGCAGAGACGCTTGTGTTTTCAGCTCATTTCAAGTCCTCGTCAGATTTGCAAATGATCCTTTACATTTAATGATTAACCTATCCTGAAACACTGGCAGAGCTTTGCTTTCACTGACCCTGACCTCCTTTCCTTTTGATACTGGTGGCTTAAATAACAACAAACACAGGCAGTGTTTTGGGACGTTCCCTTGGCTGCCCCAGGGGTGGCAGAGACAGGGTCACGGCACTGTAAGTTAGCAGCATAGCAGCAATGCCGTGCTGGCATTCGAGCGGGCAGTCAGGAAGGTGCCCGGGCCATGGGAAGCAAAGCTGAGGAGCTCTGAGCTATGGGTGAGCAAAGTGAGGAGGGAGCAGTGCCTGTCCTGCCGAACACAAGCGGCAGAGCTTTTTCTGCTGAACACAAGTGGCAGAGCAGCCCACAGCTAGTTTTTGGTCACAGTCCTGCTTCCCCGTTGCTTGGTTTTCAGGCTTGTAGGGAATGTGGTTTTGTGTTTGGGTGGAGGTTAGCAATAGCCAGACCAGTTGTTATGTTGGGCAAGCAAAGAAAACCCCAGAGCGTCTCTTGGCTCGGTAGGCTCTGGGTGCAGGGGATCTCGGCACAGCTCTTCTGAGCCTCAGGATCGTCTCCCTTTCGGAGGAATGAGGGCGTTCTCCTCCCATGGGAGGGGGCGGAGGCAGCGATATGGGAAGTGAGAATCTCAATCTGATCCTTATTTTTATTTCTTCCCTTTTCTCAGCTGCAGTAAATAACAGCTCCGACACTGAGAGCATTCCCTCGCCAAGGCCCGAAGCCAAAGAGGGAGGCGAAAACGGGGCCAAGGCACCACCCGGGCCGGGAGGTGATTCCAGCGCAGAACCAGCAGTCAAGTTGGAAGACGCTCCCACACCCCCCGATGCTCTCCCAGCTCCCACTGCTCCTGCCACCAACCCTGCTCCTGCCAGCAGCCCTCCTGCGGAGGCAACTCCCGAGCCGGCCACCAGCGAGGAGAAAGCACAAGAGGACCTGGTGGTGGACGTGGTGAAAACGGAGGAGCCGGAGGAGAAGGAGAGTGAGGAGCCCTGCAAGGGCGAGGTGAAGAAAGAAGAGAACGAAGACAGCCAGGAGAAAGACAAAGGGAATGACAAGAAAGCGGAAAGCAGTGTCAGTGGTGGAGGGACAGCAGGGGCAGAGGGGACGCCCAAGGCCGAGAAGAAGGAGAGTCATAAAGGCAGTAAGGGCCCCGGTGTAAACCCTGATAGCGACTCCAGCGCAACCTGCAGTGCGGATGAGATGGACGACCAGGATGCTGTGGACAAGAGCAGGTAGGAAAGGTGGCAGCACGTGGTGGGTAAGTGCGTGGCCCGTGAACAAAACTCGGTCTGTTGGGTGCAGCAGTGCCCATGTACACGTTCATGAGCTCTTTCTTGGGAATATCACCAAAAAGGCATTGCTGGAGACAGGAGTCAAAGCTAGGTCTCTTGCTTGCCCGTTCCCTTAAATTTCAAAGCAGCAGGAACCAAGATGCTGTGTGGGCTGGAGGGTGCCTTCTCCATTGGCGCTGAAAACCATCAGGCCATGTCTAGTGGGTGAGGACAGGGACCTGGATGCTCTTGCTGGCTCTGGCGTTCCCCCAGGCGAAGGGCTGTGCCCAGCTGCATCTCCACGTGGCTGCAGCCCTTTGGCCATGACTTGCAACGGGGCCATGAAGCGACAGGCAGTGTGATGTGTGCAGGTATGGGGTGCAGAACCACCGTGTCTTCTGGCCGCGGGCCGTCTGGGTGGTGCAGCGGTGGGTGACGTACCCTTGGGGGCAGCTGAGATGCACCGAGGCATAGATGGGGTTCCCAGAGTTGGGAGCAGTTTCTCTCTGAATTGATGCTGGCAGGAGAGAAGTCACTGAAGAGCTGTGTTTCCGTTGCTCCCTTGGTGGAGATGCTGCTCGGATCGGTAGAAGTGAATTATCGATGCCAGCCCTGGAAGGAGCATAAGGTGGCTCTGTGCGGCATGGGGGGCGTGAGCTCTCCCGGTGGTAAACGCCGTTGGGTCTTTGCCTGCGCTGCTGTCTTCCCGAGCCCTCGGACAGCTTCCGCAGCAGGCGGTGAAGGCCCCGGCCCTTCACGGGTAGCTCCGGGGCCAAGGAGTGGAAGCAATGGTGTTTTTGAAGGAGAAACGCCCTGTTGCCTCCCATGTCTTCCCACCACAGCCACACAGCTCTCCTTGCCCAAGAGCCTTGCAAATGGGACAAGGTTTCCTATTTTTTTAAAGAATATATATAAATACATGTCTTTGTTTTACTGTTTTCTCTAATGGCTGCTGATCCATTCACGCTGGCTCTTGGGCCAGGAGGGACCTCCTGAATGCACGCTGCCACCATGTGTAGAAATGGCGGCTGTCCCACCCTGGAGCCAGACGGGAGGCTGGCATCCCGCATGGTGCATCCCTCTCGTGGGCTTGCAGGGAGCCAATTTGGCAGCAAGGCGGGTGGCACAGAGCACTGTTGACTCATTTAAAAATCAACCCCCCAAAGCGGCAGGACGAGGCGGTAGCGAGCTGTCACCGTCCATAAGGGGAGTGTTGGGTTGGGAAGGGGGCTAGCTCCTGCACTTTTGCTGCAATGAATTCGGGATCTTGTGGGTGAGTGCTGCTAACAGAGGAGTGTCCTGCGTCGTGTCCAGGTGCCCTGCAGGAGCAACCCCTCTCGCTGCCAACCTGCCAAGCAGCAGCAGTGCTGCAGATCAGGGACTGTGCAGATGCACCCTTGCCCACCATCTCCTCCTTCCCAGACGGGATAAAACCTCCCTGCAAGGGAAAGTGAGGCCAGCAGAACTGAACTCCTCAAGTTTAGCGTTAACCCAGCTGAAAGCAAGACAGCAACAGGTTTTACCAACTTCACAGCAGCAAAGGGGCAAGTTGCCTTGGGAGAACTTTTTCATCCTGGGCTCCTCGCTGAGTCAGTGTGTATCTCTCTTGCCAAACAAATACCAGCTTCCAGGAATATTAAGCATTAAACAGGCGTCCCTCTGCTCCTGGGCCACTCTGCTTATCTCATCTGGTGGCGAAACGCAGGTGATAGCAGGGCCTGACTGCATGGGAAAGGTGTAGCAAGAGAGGCCAAGCTGGCATTGCCAGGCGAAGCGGTCGGGAACTCGCAGCCAGTGCAGAGCCAAGCCCGCACGGTCGGCCCTGTGGGCCTGCTCTGCATCCCGGGAAGTGCCCGGAGAGGCAGTCTGCAGCCAGCTCAGAAGGGTCTGTGCAAGTTGGGCTCCCAGCAGGCACTTTGCACGCGCAGACTCAGAGCAGCTTCCCCAGCATCGCTTTGCTCCTTTTCAAAGTGATCTAACTGAAACTAGAGGCGTGTGTGCCATTGTCTGTGCTCAGACCAGGTCAAATTCACACCCTGTCTTTTCTTAGCCTGAGCTGGAATATATCTGTGGCCTTTTCTCGTGTCCTGCACACTAAATCAGTGGTTCCTCAGCTAGGCTCCCCAGTGCCTGTGTTCTGTTTGCAGTGAAAACGTTGTAGCTGAGAATGGGAAATGCAGATGAGCAGCATTGCTCAGTGAAGCAGTAAGTCTGGGACATGGCTTTCAGGCTTGGACTCATCTCCTTGCTGTGGGTCGCTGGGTCATGGTGGTTTTCTGCTTGCATGCCTTTAACCCTCTACAAAGTGATGGAACTTGAGCTAACCTAGTTACCTTGCACTTTCCACAGGCTGAGGTCTGCTCGCGCTCAGGCAGTTACTGCAGCTCAGCTGCTGCAGGGTGACTTGCGAATGCTCAGCAGAGGCGCTGAGCACGCAGCCTGTGCTGCCGAGATGCCGTGTTATCCGCCCTGTCTGGGACGGCACTGGGTGTGTGGATGCGTGGGTGATGCTCGCCCACCCTGCGCCAATAGGGTGTGGGTGCTTTTGCTGCGCTTGTAAAAGCCTCAAGCTGTCTGCAGCATCCTGCTTCCCTCTCAGAGGGGACGGAGGCTTGCTGGGTGAGGAGGTGGCAGGGGTGCAGAGCGGGCTGGAGGCGTGAGATATAGCAGCAGCTACTGCGGCTCGGCGTTCTGCGTTTTGCACCAGCAAAAACCAGGCCGAGACAAGGGGCTGCAGCCTTAACTCGTCAAAGCTGAAAAAGGCAGCTAGTTGTCTTCGGTTACATATAGAGCCTGTGCTTTAAGAAGGCTGCTGCTAGCACTGCCAGTACTGCAGTTCAGTGGGAGGTCACGCCAGATGGGAACGAATGTGTGAGGCCGTGCACATTTACCCATCGCAAATTTGCAATGCAGAGAGGCAAGGAGATGCCTTCCCATAAGTAGTGCGCAGATCCACCCTCTGCCGCGCTCCCAGGGCAGTGGGTCATCCAGAGGTGCAAAGACTGCGCAGGGCCAGTGCTGAGGTTCTGCTGCAGGCCCAACTCGGGGGAACCCTCCTGGTAGCACCTCCCTCCCCCCCGAGGCCCAGCCCCTTTGCACACCCGCCGCGCTTGCAAGGAATTGAAGAGAAATTTGGACAGCATTGGATGGGTCATGTAGCAGTGTGCTGGGTCATCTGGCAATTAAACCAGTCCCACGTCTCAGTGGTGGAAGCTGAAGAGAATGTGATGGAGAATGTGAGGTCCTGGTCATCCCCAAAGCTTCATGCTGGGAAGGGATGTACCCGTACAGCTGAGGCTCATCCTGTATGCATGTGTTGACCCTGTGTATAGGGCCTTGGTGCTCGAATCCTCTTCCTTCCCCTTCCAATTCCATCGCTCAGCTTTAGGGGCTCTGGTTGTTGGGTTGGGGAGACCCCAGGTTAAAAGCGGGTGCAGCAGTTGCTGAGGGTCATTCATCCCGTTTCCTGCTGTTGCAAAGCCAGTGGCTTTCAGAGCAGAGCATCCAGCACACAGTGTCGTGTCCAGGGCAAGATTTGGGGAGAAGAGGTATAATAAATTATGCAACCTACATATTGATGAATTTAATGTTGACTCTGGCTTCCTAAATGTCAGGATCGCAGAGTGCTTTGAACAACCTGAGCTAAGCCAGTCTGTCAGCCCCTCTTCTGCCTGCAGCAGGGCGAGTTCATTTCTCTCCTCCTGATGATGAGTTAGGTTCGAAGAGAGCAATTCAGATCTTAAATACTGGGTGCCTAAAATTCATCTCCTAAATCAGCATGAGCGCAGGGGGCCAGGCTCTCGGCCCAGGCGAGCAGCTCCAGCTGGAGCAGCTCCTCTGCTGAGCGCTGGCCGAGGCCCTGCTTGCTGATAAAGATCGCTGGCCTCTGGAAAATCAGACTGTTTAGCTATGTGTCCAGCAAGACTGCTGCCGAGGAGGCGAGCACTGCTGAGCGCAGCCATGGCTGTTGAAATCTGGCCCCGTGCTGTTTCGAACCACTCATGTCGCTTCCGAAGCGCCTGTGAACGGTAGTCTGTCCCACCCCATTAGCAGCCCTTGAAGTGACATGGAGCCAGGCCAGCACTCCCAGCTTGGGCTCCCCGCTGCTGAACACCAGGACCCGTCTCAGATGGGGGGGTTGACACATTCCCCTCCTGGCAGCGCTTGTGTCTAATGCGAACTGGCAGGACACTTCCCAGGCAGTGGGAGCCGAGCAGGTGTGGTGCTGGCAGCCTCCGCCGGCTCCCCTGCAGCTGGAGGTCAGGTCTGCGCAGAAAAAAAACTTGGCCTTCATTTTGAAAGATTGGCATCTATGGAGCAAAATCAGAAACCAAAGTGCCTGGGGAGTGGGGGGACCCAGTTGTCAGGGTTTGGGTGCAGGGTGCTCTGCGAACGCTGGGTTTCCTCAGTTCGGGAACCCCATTGCAGCATTGCCCCAGCTCAGCATGGCTTGAAGGTCTTGGAGACCTCATCCCCTGGCCACGTATCTCAGCAGCCTTTGGGGCATTATACCCTGTCCTGTTCCTCAAGAGCCCTGTTCCTCCACGGTGAGGCTTCACTCCACCTGGGAGCCCCAGCCGGCAGAAGTCACTGCGTTTATTTGGAGGACAGCTTGGCTTAGCTGCCCCTCACCAGCTGCGCTCTGGGAGTCGGGACGCTCCCCGATGCAGTGTCTGGGGCTGATCCGGAGCTGGGTGTCCGTCCCGACCCTGCTCTGATCCAGGGCAGCATGCGGAGCGAGGACTGGGGCAGTCCCAGTGCAGTGATATATTTATTCCCCTCACATGGCCCAGCCACGCTTGTTTATTCATCCAAGGGTGAGCATGGAATGACCTTGAAATTTATAGGCTGAAGGGAGCAATGAAATAACAGCTAAAATAAACAAATCAAGCTGTAAACCTTAAAAAACCATGAACTAGCTTCAACAAAGTGGGGAGAGAGAGAAAGCGAGGATCTCCTGGAGAGACGCAGCCCTTGGGGTCTCAGCACAGGTCCAGGAGCCAGAAACACCTAGGGTTCGACCTAAGGCCATTGCTTCCATCCCTGTCCCCTTTTGGTAAGACGCTGGCAGTGCCCGCCTGCCTTGCCGTGTGCTGGACTGGTTGGGAAGGGAAAAGTCCCTCGGCTCCAATAACGCCCTGGAGCAGCAAGTCACCCCCTGCCAGCTGCTGGAATGGCAGGGCCGTGCAGTGCAGCTGCGGGGGGGCGGAGATCCCTGCAGATGCCCCAAATCCCATTTTTTCCTGCTGGCTGCGCCATTGTAGAAAGGCCCCCATGCTCAAGGGCGGTGAGGAGCCCCCATCCCACGAGGAGAGGCAGAGATTTGGTAGCCTGGTGGCTGTCGGCAGGAGGATGAGCGCTCTCAGACACGTGGGATGAATCTGGGCTGGCGGCCTCGGCCAAGGTGCGTGTGAGACGGGCAAGCGCTGGGAGATGTGAGCTCGTGGAAAGCTGCTTATTGTTCGCAGTGTTCGCTCCCGCGTTAGCTGTGCCTCTCACTGTTTGCACGGGGGCTCGGCACAGCCATCTTCTCAGGCTCTCCCGAGCAGCTCAAACAGCGGAGGGGAAGAGTAAGCAGAGAGGACAGAGGGTTGTACTGGCTCTGTACATCAAATCCCATCAAAATCCAGCCTCTCGTCTTTCATATGGTCCAGGCACCCCAGCCACGTGCACGTGATCATTTTCCCAGGCTTCAGCACCTTGATAGAAGGCAGTCCTTGACCAGGAGCATGAGGCTGATTTTAAGTGCTGGGTGAGCACCAGGCATGATCTCCGGAGGATGGCATGATGCCCAAATGAAATCTGAACTGGGCACCCTGCTCTGTAACTCCCCCTTCCCGTTCCAGGCTCCAGTTCTCCCTTGGGTTTATTCTGGACAACAGCAGCAGCTTTGCTAGAAGTGCTTAGCGTAAGGGATAAGAAAAAGAGGAATCAAAAGCCTGTTGAGTCAGACACGTTGTCTTGCTTGAGCACAGAGTCCCAGTGGGGTTGTCTTGTCTGGAAAGCAGGAATTGAATCCCATCCCGCTCTCCGCCTCCCCTCGGCTTTGTCGCTCCATGGCAAAGTCGCACTCGCTACTGCAGTGCTCTGCAGCTAGTTCGGCGTTGTTGGTGCGTGTTGCATAGGGAACGCTCTGCGAGCGATTCCCTGGTGTGCTTGCTCTCACTGACTAGGACGACTAAGGACTCCTAGTCTCTAACCTGCCAAAGGTCAAGGTGCAGGACACCTCCCGGGGTCTGCAGTGCAGCAGGATTTACTGCTGAGCACCCTCCTGTCAAGCAAGCAACCCCATAGTGGACTCTGAAATCTGTGGTATGGTGGTTGCCATCTGAACAGACTTGGTCAGGATTGGGATAGCAACTTGCAGAGCTGGAAGCCCAAGTGGCGGCAGTGTGCTCCAGAGCCCAAGGTCTGAGCAGGGAGCAGTGGTCCAGTACGCTCTTCTTTGAGGAAGATGATGTCCTCTAGGTTCACCAACATAAAGCAGAGGAGTGCAGGGCGTGGGAGAGTGATCAGATGGAGCTCGTCCATGACATCACCCGGTTAACGTTTGTTTCGTGTTCAGGTTGCTGTCCCCCAGGCCCAGCCTGCTCAACACCGCCAGTGATGCCAGGCTGAACTCCTCGCCGCAGAAACCCCTGGACCTGAAACAGCTAAAGCAGCGTGCTGCTGCCATTCCTCCCATTGTAAGTACCTGACGAAGGAGGGCTTGGCCTGAGACCACCATGGTAATGGGTGCCCTGTGCACGCTCTTGCACTGGGCTGGGTCCTCCTGAGCAGCGTATGTGAGAGTTGGGGGATATGTTTGCCTCACAGAGTCTCCACCCTGCCTCTGTGCATTACTGTCTCCTGTACGGAGAGTGGTGTGCCTGGGTCCTGAGAGATCTGGTGGGGCCTGAGAGCCAGCAAGGTGCTTTCTGTGCACAGCAGGTTCCCAGCTGCTGGCAAGACTCTGTCAGCAATGTCTGGATGTCCCTTGGGCTTTTTTAACAGAAAGTAGTGAGAGGTCTGGACAGAAAAACCTTGTCATTGCTACATGGCTGCTACCTCCCATCACTTTAAAAAGAGATTGTGCACCTTCTCAGCCCTGTGCTTCTCTTGAGATCATGCACTCAGAGGACCTACACTGTGATCTTGGCTCTGCCTAAGTGCAGAGTAACTCTTTGTTCAGGCAATGCCTGTCACAGTGTGGCTTGGTCCAGGTGTAAAGCTCTTAGACCACAACACAAATAATAAGTCACAAAAATTGACTGAGGACCTAGGAGTTACAGTGGGTTCACTGAAAGCAACAATGTCGCACAGGAGGCATTTATGTTCTTCCTCATCGCAAAACTCGGTGGTCCCCCTTTTTGGCTATCCAGTAGCCCCATACCAAAAGAGCGTGTCTTCTCCCAGGCTGCTCATTCCTCCTGGTGCTATAGTTTGGAAGGTGACAGAAAGCACCACACTATTTTCAGGATTAAGTTCAACACCAGAGGAGGAGCATTTGCAGGGTGGGGAGGGAAGAAGTCCCTGATTTCATGTGCTGTGTTTGGAGTATTCAGGCAGGATCTGTTCCTGATGCTCTCAGTTTTCCGTGTCACAGCTTAAGATCGTCTGCTGTGATGTAACTTCTTGCAAAATCTACAAGCAATTAACTAGAGATCCGAGGTTTTAAACAAGGCAAGTGTGAGGCTCTCAGAGTGTCACCAGAACGGATCTGATACTCTTGTGGGAGCAGGAAAAATGTATTTTGTTTGGTTGGTTTTTTAACCTCCTGTGATTGGAGAGCTTCAGAGCACTGTTTGGGGTGGTAAGACTTGTGGTGATAGCGTGGGGCAGATATCTCCCAGAAGAACACCTTGATGTCTCCTTGAAGACTGCTATGGTTATCAACAGTACAGAATCACAGAAATGAATCACAGAGTCACACAGTACATGGCAAGCATCACCAATCCTCCTTCTTATTCTGCAGATTTCGGAAGGTTTCTCAGAGGGGATATTGCAGAGCGGAAGTGTGAAGCCTCAGGTGCCTCCCCATGCCTTGGCCCTCTACCAGCAGCAGATCACTAAAGCCCATGAGTCTGCCCGCGAGGACATGCCCCCAGGCAAGCTCTCGCAGTCCCAGCAGCAACAACAGCCTGAGAAGGAGCAGCAGCAGCCTAGCAGCAGTCCCAGGGGAAAGAGCAGGAGCCCAGCTGTCGGTGACAAGGAAGGTAGGGGGTGTGCGTCTCGGTGTGTATTTACCCACATAGAAATGCACGGTGTGTGCAGCTGCATGCAACCAGCAGCTTTCCTTCTCTTAGGTGGAAGTTTGCTTCAGCCCTTGAAAGCTCTTTAATAGCATCTTGAAGCAGGACCAGAGAGGCATGGCTAATTTCCCATGTTCATTAGACAGTACATCATGTCTCATTGAGCCCACAGCAAACACCGGGCTAGTGTCGAGCGCTGAGGAGGTGAAGATTGCCTTTATTAGCATCCGTACCATTCACTTGAGAGCAAAGGGACCTGGAGGGATGCCAGGGCTCTGGGTACAATGGCTCTTTTCTACCTTGCTGGCTTTTTATAAAGAATGCTTTTAATGCTCAGCAGGGACCATTATTTCATTTAAAATCAATGCTAATACTGTGACTCGGAGTCCAAAGGTTCCTGTAAAGATTCCCAGTGCTTTATCCCCAGAATAGCTCTGATGTGGTTTGGCTGCCTAACGAGCAATTCAGAGTTTCCCACCATAGAGCATCTAAAGTGTTATTAGCTTGAGCACCTGGGGATAAAGGTTAAGGAGAATCGGGAAGTTGCGATGAGGCCATCTTCTAAATGTGTTTTTACTCGGAGTGTCAGAGTTTGGTCCAGTTCAAAGTCTTTGTCCTTGCCTCTCATAGCCGGTCTGCACTTCAAACAGTCCTTGAGCAGGCTGGGGGCCTGGTCGCTTCTAGAGACTAGAGCCTGTGAACTGTCAAGTGTGAAGATGAGACACTGTCACCAATGGCACAATCGAAAGAGCAGGGAAGTCAGGCTTTGTGGGTGTGACGTCTCCGGTACTGGATCTGGCACTGGGATAGGAGTCGGGAGGCAGCTGGAAAACTCTCCTGGCTTATTCAGAGAGATGGAGGGTGAAGGAGAACACACCGGGATTGTGGTCACTGCTGGAAAATCGATGCATTGGTTCACGCTTCAGCATCCAGGATCTTAGTGGTCTGCTCTGCCGTGTCCAGGCCAAAGTATTCTTCACGTAGTGATATCCTTTTGGGTAACTGCTTGCCTTGAAAGAAAAGGAGCTTTCCACAAGCCACAGCATTGCCGTCTGTGAAGTAAAGTCTCCAGCTGATCTTTTCCTGCTGCACTTGTATTTGCAACCCAGGCAGAGCAGTTACCTTCCAGCACTCACCCTCCAGCAGTGAGTAATCAAGTTTGATCTCTTCCTGTGCTATAATCCGATGCAGATCTGCCAGTCTTGCACAGCTCAGCTTCCTGGCGAGGTGTGTGGCACAACCAGTGCTTGAACCTGGAGCTCTTCATCCCTGGCATCTGGCCACAGGAAAGCAGGGCTGCTTGAAATCAGGCAGATTTGATTGCATTCGGTATATTGCAGGTTTTTACAGGTTGAAGCTTAACTTCTCCCTTCTGACACCTGTTGGTATCATTGTTAAATGTGAGAGTCCGGTATCCAAGTGGGTTTTATATGGCTTTGTTCTCCCCAGAGCACTAATAATACGAAGCCCTGCATTCTCTGGGCCACCTCTCCTGTCACACTTCTGTAATGCTCTGAATCTTCCATGTACTGAAACTAATTACACGTCCCAGGACTCCTGCAAGGTGTGCATTCAGAT